AGGCGCTTCGGCGTCGGCGAAAAATCCGCCTTGGGCCCTAGAAATGCGCCTTGTGAGGTAGAAAGTGTACGGCGCCTTCCGCGCCAGCGCGGCGCCACGGACGAGCAAGGAGCCGCCAGAGTAATCAAATCCGTACGGACCATGCGGACGGGACGGGTGGATGCGCTCTTGGACGGACGGAGTTGCGGCGGCGGAAGCGCCGACGAAGAGACAAGGAACGGATAGTCTGGACGGATACGGCTGACCACGGTCAACGCCTTCCGCGCCAGCGCGACGCCGCGGACGGAATTCGCCTGCGCACAGGCGAGCGCCTGTGCACAGGAGGATGAAGTTCCGCGCCGGCGGAGAATCCGCCGAGGAGCCTGCCTGCGCACAGGCAGGAGTTGAACTTTTGTCCGACATGCGGACACACGCGTCGAGGCAGAAGGGGATTGGCCGAGGGGCGGTACGAACAAGTGTACCGCGCAAGGCGGAAAACTCGCCTTCGGCGCTGCGCTCCCATGTCCGCGGGGTAATACGCTCGCGGAGTTCAAATCCGCCAATTCGAGCGTGAGAGTTTAATCGGCGACGGCGGAGCGTGAAGCCGCGCGTGAGAGCGGAGACCGTTCCAGCGTAGAGCCGGCGCGGCCATCAAGTGAGACGTCCTCCACGAGCAAGAGCCGACCATGACCTTCGACCGGGCGGTGGAGAGCGTCCCATTCTTGAATTCGCGATTCCAATCTCTTGTGCGCGCTGCGCGCGTCCATCTGCTGGCTGCTAAACATTCTCGACGTCGCCGCATGGGGGATTTCTTGGTGATTGAGGGAGAAGTGAGTGCGCGTGATTTGGAATTGAGGGCGATTAGAGTTTGCCGAGAGAGAAAGGAGCTCGAGCGGTGCGGAAGTAGAATGAGCGGGCGAGCGAACTCCAGGAACGCAATGACGAGACCGGGCAGATTGCGGATGGTGCCGCTTCGCCTACCACAGAACGGGCTGCGCGCTTTCGAGGAGCGCTTAATAGCAAGAAAACTCGATTTCTTGCTATGGGGATGGAACTACATCTGTGCGAACATGGTGCGCGAGTGGCTAGAGCCACAGGGACCACCCTCGCGCGGATTGCGTCCGCATGTTGATCGGTGGACAGTCCAAGATTGGGCGCAGGCATTGGGAAGATGTGCCGGCATGCCAGGGCATCTCCTCTTCGACAGTGAGAGCATCAAGGTGACCAAGCAGGAAGAGGCGCAATTTGTGGAGCTGTTCAAGACCGGGAGGTCTACCAAGAATGGGTACAGGACCCGTGATTACAAGGATCGATTTCGCCGGACTTTGTCCGCGGCGCTGATGCAATTACTGCAGCCACACCGCGCCTGCTACATCACATTGTGGCAGGTCTCTTTTGTGGAGTGCGTCATCGAGGGAACTCCAATTCACTGGGCGAGCATCCTGCACAGGGTGATGCGACAGCACGCTTTTGAGGAGAAGGGGGGGACTCTAAACCATCTCTCTCCTTTCCTCATCAATTTTTATCGACAGCGGAATTGTTTGACAGCGGCGGAGCTTGAGCATTTTCCGCCGTTGTCCGTCGACCATCCCGGGAAGTATGTGCGGGAGAATGAGGTCGACACTGATGCAGAGGAGTCACCGACTTCTACCCCATCAAGGCGGAGGGACGAAGGGAGAAACACTCCTGCAGCACGAGTGCCGCGGAAGCGGCGATGGAGAGAAGAGTCCGAAGAGGAGCAGCATCAAGAACCCTCTGCTCCCATTCGACCGCGGCCGTTGTACGAGTCATACAGCCGGCCGAAGCAGAAGGCACGCAGACTGGTGTTACCAGCCAACAGTGCGGACACGGCGACGATTGCGACGGAGAAAGGAAGTGCGTCGCCAGAGAAGCATGAGGAAGCGCGGACGACCGCAGGAGCAACGGACCTCGCTGCAGCCTCGACGGGCGTGAGGCCGCCTACGGGCCAAGGGCCTCCGGAGTTACCACGTGCGTTGCGGACAGGTGTTCCGTTTGCGCACAGACGAGACTCCGCGGACGGGCGAGCCTCCGCGGACAGACGATCACAAGTGGACGTAGATCTACGCTTACGCGTGGGAAGGAGCAGTCCGCCTGTGCACAGGCGTTCGCCTGTGCACAGGCAGGAATCACCCCCGTTCCAACGTAGGAAGGGGAAGGAGCCGGCGGAAGAGCCGCCTACGAGACACCGGCCCTCGGGGCCAGACCCTCCGGCGCATCACGCGCCGCAATTTGCGCCTTCGGCGCCAGGGCCTTCGAGCCGAGGAGATACGAGCAGGGAGTGTGCGGAGGCCACACTATCGGCGGGTAATCCGCCGGTAGATGCGCCTTCGGCGGTAGGGCCTCAGGGCCAAGGGACATCGGGCGAGTGGCCCCCGGCCATGTCGCCTTTGGCGATGGGCGTCCGCGGCGCTACGCCTGCGGCGGACAAGGCGCCAGCATTTACGCCTGCGCACAGGCCAAGCACAGCCTCCGCGGACCGATCAAGAGAGCAGCAACAGACGGAGGAGCGGAGTGACTGTCCGCGGGATGAAATTTCGATGCGCGATGCGCAATCAAACCCCGCGCAGCCACCCTCCGCTCGATCGCCTTCGGCGGCGGGCGTCGGCGGCAGAGAGGACACGGTAGATGACCAACAAGCGAGCGGCGGGGATGCCGCACGGGCACATTCGCCTACCGCCTTAGACATTTTGGCGAAGAGCAGCGAGGCTGCAGCCGTGCCTTCGCAGGCAGCACACGTCGACGACGTGCAGCCCCACTCGGGTCAGTCGCCGACGCAATCAATGGCGACTGAAATTCTCCACTCGGATGATGACGACGGAGGCTCCACCGAAGAAATGTCAGGAGCAGGAGACACCGAGGAGGAGGAGGAGGAAATTGTTGGAGCGCCGGCGGCGGCGCTCTCTGAGCAGGTGATTCCGTTGCTGAGGTACTTGGATCGCAAAGTCGATAAATACGCCGACCCACTTCAGCCGGGATCTTACATCGAGTTAGTGCGCAGGCGGACTCGCACTAAAGTCCACACCAGCAAGCTATTAGCTAGAGTGGACCAGGAGTTGAGGGAATTGAAGGAGAAGCATGAATGCTTGTGGGGTCAGTATAAACTTAATCAGAAATTCTACAAGTACTCCGAGAAGGTGAGGGATGGGAAACTGGAAGAGCTCACCAAGGAGCAGGTGAAGGTCACAGAAGCACTAATTTTTGAGCAGGCCCAGAATCGGATTTTGTCAAAGGAGCTCGTGCGACAGACGCGGTTGTTGGAACAGTGTCAGCTCGCACGGCAGGCGGATGAGGAGGTAATCCGCAGGCTACAGTCAGAGTGCGGCGAATTGAGAGCGCAACGTGCTGAGGCCGAATCGCAATTAGTGATAGTTGAAGAGGATCGCAGGAAGGAGGCAGATCGCACAAAGGTGGAGACGGCGAGGCGTGTCGCCCACTGTCTCAAGGGCTACGCCCACTGGGAAGTGAAGGCGCAGGAGAAACTCACACTGCGTGAGTTTGAACTTCGCGCAGCCGGGTTGTTGTCAGGCGACAGTAGGAGTCGGCGGAAGGTAGCAAAGAAGCTCGATGCTTTTCTGTCGAAGGCGCAGGATACCATGTCCGCCCTCGAAGTGGAGGTGTCCGCGGCGTTACAGCGATTGGGACTGCGCAGTCGAGCGGAAGACTGGCAGGGTAGGGAGCTAGTGCGCGGCAGTCCGCCGCGCAGGAGACGTAGCACAGGTTCCGCGGAGTGTAGTGTAGCGTGGTTCCGCGCAGGCGTGTAGCGTAGTGCAGTGTAGTGCTAGTTAGGACTTAGAAGGTATAAAATAGTTCCAGGCGTTTCGCCTGGGGTTCTTTCCCATCAGAAGTGCAGATCAGGAACCCATTTCCTTTGCGTGTTTGTGTCCTTGAGTTCTGTCACCACGCACGAGGAGTTACAACTTAGCGTTCCGCATTTTGTAGCTGAAGGCCTGCGGCCGAATGTTCAGAGCTAGTACATTGGTTAGAGACTTGAGTAGTTCGGAACTGCACCTGCGGGTGACTGCCGATGCTCAGAGCCAATGACTAGTTAGATACTTGAACAGTTTCGCCCCTACACCTTCGAGTGTTTCTTTCTGATTGTACTCCTTTGGGATTTTTCCCCTGAATGCCAAAGTGAAGTTTTGCTACTTCGTGTAAGCCTTGGTTGTAAATTCAGGTTACGCTGCAGCAGGTGCTTTGAGGGTAACCCCTGTAGTAGTTCTGGGAATGACAAGTGCCTGAGAATTCAAACTCTTCAATAGACTGTTGTTGTGTTACTGGAATGTTTCTCAGTGAGTCCTTCAGCGCGGACCTGTGTTCTCTGCGCGTTTTGTGAGTTGAGAATGTTGTTCACCGCGTAGGAGTGACTTCGATCCGAAGTAGGCAGTCCAAACCGGGTTTCCTACACTAGCAGCAAGCTAGTGGAAGTGTTGTAAAAGCCGGAGTTGGAAGTCACTGCCCGCAGCTTTGCCGAGTGTGCTCGCGAGAGACTTTCCCCCTGAAATCTTGAAGTAGAGGTCCTAACGGATCTCTGGGTTGTATTTCTGTAGTCTCAGGTGTGTGTGTGTGTGTGTGTTACGCTGCACTGTGCGACCTCCGAGTGCGCTCCGAGTGGACACTTGCAGTATTTCTGGGAGTGACAGTTGCCTGAGAATTCAAACTCCTCAATAGTCTGTTAAAACGTGACACTTTGTACCCTGTGTGTTCCTCTGTCCCTGTGGGTTCGACCTTTCTACCACTATATTGCAGTTTTAGCCTTTAGTGGGTTATTACACATCATCACAGTGCCACTGGATATCCCTCTAATATGTGAAAGCACTTGAGGGATTACTTGAAAATTCTAAATTTGGACAGACACATCATCTCACGAATCGTTTGCCCACAATCAAACACACCTGATTCGGTAGGTGGTCGAACGTTTCCTTTCCGATGACGGTGTTCAGATTCGTGTCTGGATGTTGGATGACATTGCCAAATCTTGCCCTCTGATATTATATGCACTCTTGGAGGTTCGGAGAAAGCCGCAATCAATATTTTTTTGAATTAGAGGAGGACATCAAATTGTTAAAAAAATGTTTTTCGTCTCTATTCTCTGATGATGGACGTGGGGTTTTTAACATGTGGGATCGGTACGTAGTACGACCTATGTATCATAATTGGGGATACTGCCAGGAGAAAAAGCAAGTACTATGATATTGATTGGGTAGAGCATTGCAACTCGACGATAATCGACCTGCGCAAGTTGAGGGAAGCATAATGACTACAAATCATCCCAGCACGAGTTCCCCTGCGCATGTGCACGCACGTGTAATCCGGTGACTCGAAATTTCTCTACAAAGGATCTCCCCACATTTCACTCGGTCGTTTACGAGCTTCCTCTTGGTCTGCATTGATGTGGGCATCTTCGTTTGTCGTCTCCGATGGTCCTCTTTCCAGAACCTCTTTCTTTCTTCGCCGCATGAACAAAAAGGCACCAGTTCCAAACACTGCCGCTGCGAATATGGCACCAACCACAGTCCCGATGACTATCTCCTTCACCTTGTTGTCTCCTTGAGCTGCACACAAGTTCCTACATTTCCGATCCTCGAATGCTTCCTCGTTGAACGGTTCTTGTGGTGGTCCTTGGCACATCGAGCCCGATGTGCCGCAGTTGTAGTCATCCTGCCAGCAAAGAATGTGTATGATCATCCAAATTTTCCAAATGCCACCGGGCCCAGTACTTCTTCTGTCTATGAAAATGTGAACCAGGACAAGCAGATCACATAAAGGAGCTAGATTCACGTAGTACATCGTCTGATTCATTCAAATGTCTACAAACAAGAGATCATGTCGCAGGTTGAAGGAGTGTTTATAGCACCAGGTAAGGTGAGCTTTGTAGAGCAATGCGAACTCCTTATGGCACTGAGATCAGTGGATTTGGAGCCAATAAGAATGTGTATCTTCAATGTGAGGAATTTTTCTTGGTCATCCGGCCTAAACTAACTAACAGACGGAAAAACGTCGGGAAGAGGCGTGCACTCGTTACAGAGCTTGTGAGAGGATGAGGCCAGTCATCTGGGTCAGACTCGCAGGGTCGGAAATACGAAGGCTCGAAGAACTCACAAATATAGGAGGCACGGACGAAGCTCGTGTCGAACTGGAAGCGCTCTCCAACGTATTGCTCTGGGTAGTACGCCGTTGCCCTAAGTTATCATCGATTTCGGCTCTGGTGAACGGGAGTTCCTCATAGGGTACGTCTATCGCTGCAACGCCGACGAACTTGTCCTGCTAGAATGCTGTTCATGACGCCAGAGAGAGAGAGAGAGAGAGAGAGAGAGACCACATGTCATCCTGCAGAAACGATCTCGATCACAATCTGGAACTTTGAGAACAAACACCATTCCTCATGATGAGTCATTCGAAGGAGATTCAACCTTGGGGCTGCTCCCTTGAAAGCACCGCTGGACTCAGAACAGATAGCATGCGATGATGGAAGAATGCAAACGAATACCATCGGTGCATTACCAGCTAATGCAATTTGTCAGCGTGGGGAGGTCTAGGGCCGTGTATACTCCAATGGACCATTGCCCTCAGACCCAAGAAATTGCATGCACGAACGAAGAGAGAACTGTCGGAGGGTTTGGAATAGCTCGAGGACAGAGTTCGCAGCAACGATGCATGTTTCAATTTACCGGGCATCGTCACGGTAATGATGTCTGAATTTTTGTAGGTGTCGTCGTAATTGCTGATCCAGAACGGCGTATCGTTGAAGAGATTTCTGTGGGAGGCGGCCAGGTATCCGAAGTACGATCGCATCTGGTGCAGAGGGTTGTCTTGAGGCGCCCAATCCTCGTACGTGCCGTTCATCTTAGCCGTCAGTGTCTGGAGGCCGGTGGAACTATTGTCCGAGTACACGAAAAGATTCACATTGATCGCCTGGAGCTCGGCGATGATTGCGTTAACCGATGGATCGTCCAGAATGTCCGAGTTGGCGAAGCTGCCGTCAGTGAAGAGGACGATATTTTTGGTCAGATTGTAATCGTTAGCATTCGGCAGCGTCGAGTCCGAAAACGCCTGCAGAGTGGTGTTCAGCCCCGTCACGAAGGCGGTCACGTCCGTGTTCAGCAACGAGGTCTGATTTGTGAAACTGAGAATTTTGCTCATCAGAGTGGCCCGCTCCGTGTGGTTGGCCATCACTTGCAACTGCGAGAACCAACCTCACTCGGTCAATCCTCTGGAAGAGAGCACGAAAGTCCATGCTTACAGGATACCAAGCACGGCAGGTCCGACTGAGAGCACGGGGAGGCACGTACTGATTGCGTGTAGATATCGTTTTGTGCCCCGCCGAAGCTGAACACGTTAATGTAGTTGTTCTCGTAAGTTGTGCTCAGCAGCGCCAAGGATAATGTCTGCGCCACAAGGAGCTTCGTGTCACTGAGTGCACCTGTGCTCAGCAGGGTGTCGGCCATTGAATGCCCGTTGTCCACCAGAATGACGAGATGGTTCGGGTACGTGATCGCCCCATTGTACCACGGACGAATCCTGCTGTCGTACACAAGGCATGAGTCTTGTTCCTCCTCCTGAGACAGAATTTCATACACGATCTTAAGTCTCCGTCACTGAATGTGCTCCAGAACCCCGAGACTACGATCCACCCCGAGCAAATTGGTAGCACTGGAAGCATGCAAGGATGTGCATCCACGAGAGCAATGAAGATGGCTTTCTAGATCATCCTACCCTTCCTGGATAAGCTCGACGGGTGCCGTCGATCGTTCCCACGTAGTAGTCCATGTAGTAATTCACTTTGCCGGATATATTCTGGAATGTTTCGTCCAGCAGCTGAGTCCTGCAGATTGAGCTGCTCTCGACATCCGAAGGTTGTCCCTGACCACCATCACTACAAACAACAAATTTTAACCCCGTCAGGCATTCGACAACGGAGGCTGGTTCTCGTCACCAATGGATTAAAACAATCACTAAAGCTCTTGAGAATGCAGCATCGGTTCGAATCAAGCACACAAATACAACAGTCACGGCCGTCACCCAGGAGTGTTTCTGCGTGCGACATCTCCTGATTATAATACCATAATTTAAGCTGATGGTATCCTTGCACATACACATACCTAAAGTATGTGACGGAGCTGTTCGATCTCGTGACCTGTATTGAAGGGCAAACGTTGGAGGTAGGAAACTTTGCCTGCAGCTGGTCCGTGCAGTTATATAGATTCTGCGTGTAACGGACTGGTGTCAGCCGGAAGAGTTCCATGTCCAATAATTTTTAACAGAATGGCTGAACCTGCCCCGTCAATGAGAAACCATGGTTGCTTCCAATCTACTTGCTTGCAATTGCAAGTTTGTACTAAGATGTTGCAATTGCAAGATGTTACTAACTTGACGAGGCAAATTTACAACCAGTTGTCAGCCAGCTTCATTCACAGGATTAGATGTCTGCCTGAAACAAGTGGATGATGATGACATTAGAGGTCCTTGCAAGGGTTTCGCTGATCAAAAACTTGAGGAAGTAATCTAAGTTCACGCAGAGGGTTGACAGAGATTGAGTACAATTGGTGAAGATGAGTATACTCACGCTCGCGGAGGTAATGTTGATGTACGATATCGGTAGATTGTTGGCCAGTTGTTGGCACATACTTTGGGAGCATCCATTCGGGCATGAAGGGTCGTTACCTGTTGCAGGTTTCAGAATCGCAAAGACGAAAAGAAAGACTTCGTGTCGTAATCTCAAGCATAAAGCAGTTGCAACGTCCTGAGAATGTTAAATGTTGGAGAGAGGCGAAAGCTTCATCCCTCATCACGTACCGCATGGAGAGCTGAAGATTTCACCGAGCTTGCTGGCAAGCTCTTTAACATCCGCCTCTATTTGATCGAAATAGTCATTTACATTGATTTGCGCAGATGTCCGCGGAATTTCTGAAAACAAAGCGAAGATTAAGAACGCGGCTACCAAGTGTGCTGAAGCCATCATCGTTGTCAGACATATGTATCGGGAAATTGAGGCTAGGCAAGGGCAGACGCTTCAGTGTTCCCCAGTGGACCAGCTTCGGCCTGATTTTTTTGCATTCATGCTCTGTTCTTATTCAGCTCGGCACTCCTTTGCATCGGCCTGTCCGTCGGTCGAATTTTCATATCTGCACAGAACTGTACGCGTCTACGATGCCATGCCGATGGCTTTTCGATCCAAAGGCTCCAGCCAGCTGTGATAGTGATCTGCAAAATATATATAGAACTTTTCTGAAACAGATTTCAGAAAAGCCCACGGTGCGCAAGGGGTAGCAGGTTGCTTCTCCATGATCACCATCTGTGAACAAGTCCACTCTAGGCCTTACCCTAAGCATTCACCGTTAGGCTTGCAAAAATCTTCTATGCACAGCCCTCATTGACAAGGTCTCGGTCACCATCTGTGAACAAGTCCACTCTAGGCCTTACCTTAAGCATTCACCGTTAGGCTTGCAAAAATCTTCTATGCACAGCCCTCATTGACTTGAGGTCTCGGAACATGACAAACACAGCAGAGCCTCGGCAGGCCAGGCCAACTTCAGTGAGGGACGGTAGAAACCGGGAGAGGTCTTTTCTGGAATCCTTGACGAACTCTCAGAACTAGGACCAGGCAATGTGTTGATGCGCACGAAACTTTCATCACGTACTTATGATCCCCTGGATCTCGACAGAAAGAGGATTTCGGGGCTCTGGTTGGTTTTCGTCGTCAGATCGTGATCTGGTCGCCGCCCGAGATAACAGACTGGAGGTGTAGGCTTGAATCTAATGGAATCTCTCGTCGCAGCAGCTTCGAGGATTGCAACTTTCAGTGCTAGTCCACTTGTCACAAAAATTTCTGCCCAAGATTGCCACCCATTTGGAAACGTACTCATATCCCCAGCTCTCTTCATCCATTTCACCAAGCTGAGCTTTCTCTGTCTTGGCATCAGTCTCATGCTCAAGCTCAATCTGTCGAGCTTGAAAACATCTCCAGGTTTTGAGACTATGCGTACTACGGTCGGCTTGACTTCTGGGGAGGTATAAAGAGATCAGAAGAAGACGAAACGAGATCTGACTGATCCGATCTAAAAGAGAAACGGCTAGAGAAGTGGGCACTTGTCACCAGTACCAAACCTGTCATTTGCATTAGACGGTAGCGGTTTCAAGACTTCGGCAACAGGAGTGATAGTAGCTTTCGATTCCCCTTGGGTCGACGTGAGATTACGTTGGGCTGGCAGTGAAGGCCTATGTTTGCAGAGCATGTTCTCGTGTCACCATTTAAGGCTCGCATTAACTACCAGCGGACGGAAGACTGTCACGTTGTCAAATGTAAATCCGAGAAATCCGAACACAAGAGTCGGCCTGGAATCCGGCCTGAGGAGAGCAGAATATAAAAGCTCCTGTACAGTGAAGAGGACGATATTTTTGGTCAGATGCCACAACTGAGCATTCGGCAGCGTCGAGTCCGAAAACGCCCGCAGAGTGGTGTTCAGCCCCGTCACGAAGGCGGTCACGTCCGTGTTCAGCACCGAGGTCTGATTTATGAAATTGAGAATCTTGAAACTGAGAGCGGCCAGCTCCGTGTGGATGGACGGATTCTCGTAGTTGAAACCCACTTGCAACTGCGAGAACCCACCTCACTCGGTCAATCCTCTGGGAGAGAGCCCGAATGTCGATGCACGCAGGGGAGGGCGTACAGGACACAAAGGACGCCAGGTCCGACTGAGAGCACGGGGGAGGCACGTACTGATTGCGTGTAGCTATCGTTTTGAGCCCCGCCGAAGCTGACGACGTTGATGTAGTTGTCTTTGTAATCTGTGCTCAGCAGCGCCAAGGAAAAGTTCTGCGCCCCAAGGAACTTCCTGTCGAGTCCATTTGGGGCGATCTGCAAGCGGCCGGCCATTGAATGCCCGCTGTCCATAGGGCTCGGATCGGGTTGGACCTCCGACCCGAAAAACTGGGTTCGGATCAATTTGGGTAGATACGAATATACAGCAGGAGAAGTACAAGGCCAAAAGAGCAAACTTGGGATCAAGCTTGCTCTTTTGGCAACCACACGAAGCACGAGATTCCGGGTAGATATCATTAGGAGCGGGGACTTGAAGATGTCCCTCCGAGAGCCATCTTTCTGCTCTTAGGACCTGGAGCTGGATGTTTGCCGATCAAGCATTGGGTTTGTCCACGACCGAGCAAATGCAACTTGTTCAGCTATGACTGTGTGACAGTATCCAGGTCTCGAGAATTGTGCATTCGTATGAGGACGTCGGGAGATTTATATGAGGACGAACATCACTTCCTGTTCGTACACGTATCCGTCCAAGTGGTTGAAATTCTCTAAAGTTGTTGTAATCTGTCCCGTCTAGCAAACACCGCGATGGGTGCTAGCTCGCTTGCCAACAATTCTCAGACAATGTGTCACCAGACATTATGCAAGACACACGAGTGAATATCAATGATTCTTTCTCTCCCTCTGCAGATGGAGAGAACGTGGTTTGTGAAATTGCAGCTATGAGAAGATCTGCTTTTAGACGTAGCTTTCTAGCCTCCAAAAAAAATCTTTGAGCTAGTCCACATTGTCAATCTGTATTTGAGTACGTCCTGATTTCAACAGACATTATATTCAATTGAGATTACTGATGAAAGATTGAGCTCGTAGCTGCCCCTGCAGCTACGAGCTCAAAAGGATCATCGAACAAGATCGTTGCGGTTTGACAGCACGATTTTGCCTCAAACTAACCATTGCTGGTCGCGCAGAGTCTAATCAACTCGCACTTAGCACTCGACGCGACGGTTCGATACAAACACTGCTTGACCCTCTCAACGACGGAGCTCACTCACACACTGATAACCAAGCTAGTGATTACTCTTTGTCGTTCGACAATCATTCAAAGACCAGATATCAGTCGATGTGAAGCAACGATTGTGCTGCTACGATTCGTAGCAGCACAAAACAAATGTTTTCGTAGCCTACGAAAACATTTGATTTTATCCACGCACTTGAATCCATGCTCATCAAGGGTTGGATTTGAATTTCTTGATGTCCTCGTGAACGACGGTCCAGAGGTAGTCCATGTTGAGCTAGTCGTTAGACGCAGCGGCCGAGGTATCGGTCCAACTGGCCAACATGTCTTTCTCTCCGTAGGAAATGCCATGCTCTCACACTTCGGCCAAATCTCCTTTTTTGGGTTTCGGTTTAGGTACAGCACTCTACCCGAACCCGGACCCGTTCTGATCCGAACTCGGGTTTTCGGGTTATACCCGAACATGATCGGAGCCCTAGTTGTCCATCAGAATGAAGAGATGCTTCAAAACCGTGATCGCCCGGCTGTACCACGGCCCGTGGTACAGCCGTGGTCCACGCCAAATCCTGCCATAGTACACAAGGCATGAGTCTTGTTGCTCCTACTGAGAGAGAATTTCATACATGATCTTAAGTCACCGTCACTGAATGTCCTCCAGACTCCCGCGACTACGATACACCCCGAGCAAATTGGCAGCACTGGAACCATGCAAGGATGTGCATGCAATGAAGATGGCTTTCTAGATCATCCTACCCTTCCGAGATAAGCTGGCGGGTGCTGTGGATCATCCCATGTAATAACCAACCAAAGGCTAAAGCTGCAGTATGGTGGTAAAAAGATCTAACCCACAGGTACAGAGGCAACACACAGAGTAAAAAGTGTCACGTTTAATAGACTTTTGTACAGTTTGAATTCTCAGGCGACTGTCACTCCCAGAAATACTGCAGTGCTCGACTCGGAGGCTCGACTCGGAGGAGGATGCTCGACTCGGAGGATGCTCGGAGGATGCACAGTACAGCGTTGTCACTCAACACACACACACACACACACACCTGAAACTGGCAAAAGCACAACTCGGAGGTCGGTCAGAACCTCCGCTTCGGATTTCAGGGGGAAAATGTTTCACAAGTTTACTCAGAGGCTCTGCAAGTAGTGAATCCCACTCCGGCTTTTACTGCCCTTCCGCCAGGAACTAGCGTAGGGAACCCGGACTGGACTTCCCACTTCGGAACGAAGCCCCTTCATACGCCGTGGACGTCACCCTCGACTCACACCAAACGCAGGGGGTACAGGCCCAACTGAGAACTTAATTGAGACACAATCCAGTAACACACACACACAACCTGAATTGCAAACCAAGGCTTACACGAAGTAATAAAACTTCACTTTGGCATTCAGGGTAAACTTCCCGTAGGAGTACAATCAGGATATGTCACTCGAAGGAGTAAGGGGGAACTGTTCAAGTCTCTAACTCGCAGCCGGCTCTAAGCATCAGAAATCACCCGCAGGTGCAGATCCGCACTACTCAAGTCTCTAACCGGGTACTAGCTCTGAACATTCAGCCGAAGGCCTTCAACTACAACATACGGTAACTTCGCTATGCTGCAGCTTCTCTACGTGGTGCCAGGACCAAAATGCACAAACACGCCAAGAAAGTGAGTTCCTGATCTGCACTTCCGAAACTGGAAGAGTCCCAAGGCAAAACGCCTTCATCTACTTTATACCCTCAAAGGTCCTAACTAACACTACACTATCCTATCTACTACTCGCAACACTTGCACGAAACCAAACTACGCTACTGCACTCTGCAGATCCGGTGATGCGCCTCCTGCGCGCCGGACTGCCTCGCTCTCTATCTCTACCTTGCCAATCTTCCAACCGGCTGCGCAACCCCAGACGCCGGAGGGCTGCAGTCACTTCCGACTCCAAGTGCGCCATAGTGTCGCGCGCACCCGACAAGAAGGACTCTAATTTCCTCGCTACTCGCCGCCGACTCCGACTGTCACCCTCCGTCAATGCCGCCGCCCGAAGCTCGAACTCCCTGAGTGTGATCTTCTCTTGAGCTGCCACCTCCCAATGGGCGTATCCTTTTAGACAGTGAGTCATCCGCGTCGCCAACTCTTCTCGCGCCCGGCAACTGCCTTCCACCTCTGCTAGCTGCATTTCCGCATCTGCGCGCTGCGCCCTCAAATCCGCGCACTCGGATTGCAAGTTGCGCAACAATTCCTCATCCTCCGTGCGTGTACTTTGACTTTCTTCTAAGACGCGCTTCTGGCGCGCAAGCTCTTCTGCTAAGATGCGGTTTTGTCTCCGCTCTTCCTGCAATTCCGACTCGATCTTTGCCCGTATTAGCTCGGCATCCGCCTGGTTTTTCGTCGCCGCGTCCTCCCTCTGCTGTTGCAAGGTTTGGTATAGCTTCTGCGTGACCGCCAGGTGCTGTCGGAGGGTAGCGTTCCTATCCTGCAATGTTTGGCACCTAGAGGCCCAAGTGGCCACCTTGCTCCTCGTCCTGCGCTTGACAGTCTCCACGTAAGACTGCGGTTTTCCGGTACCCGAGTACTTGGATGTCTTGCGATCCAGATATCGCAGGAGTGAAACTATCTGCTCGCACAACACCCCTGTTGGCGTTTTCTGCACAGAGTCCGCTTCCTGCTCTTCCGAACTCGTCTCATCCTCCGTTTCGAG